TCAATGGGGGACTTGTGGGAGGCAGCCGATCCATGATTCTCTCTCATCATGGATGTTTCTATCTCTCCCTCTTCCTTCCTCTCTGAAATCAATAAAAATATATTTAAAAAATAATAAAATAGATCTCAACTCTCAGCAGATTTATATAAAAAATATATTTTAAAAATGATTTCATTTCTATGACATTCTAGGAAAGGCAAACTATAGTAACAGAAAGCAATTTGGTGGTTGCATGGGATCGGGGTCAGGACAGTGACTGACTACAAAGGGGCATGAGACAACTTTTTGGAGCAATAAAAGCGTTTTAAAATGATGCGATGGTGTTTGTGTGCCTTATACATTTACCCAAATTTAACAAATTATACACCTAAAATGGGTGAATTTAATTGTATGTAAATTATTCTACAATAAAGCTGTTTAAAAAGATTACTGAGACGAGTCCTAAAAACTAGTCCTGGGAACCCTTTATTTATTTATTGATTTCAGAGAAGAAGGGAGAGGGAGAGAGAGAGATAGAAACATCAATGATGAGAGAGAGAATCATTGATTGCATGGCCTCACACTGGGGATCGAGCCTGCAACCCTGGCAAGTGCCCTGATAGGGGGCGGGGGGAGGGGGAATCAAACTGTGACCTCCTGGTTCACAGGTTTACACTCAACCACTGAGCCATGCCAGACAGGTTTTGAAAAGTATATTATGCATCTGCAAGACTGAAAAATATACCAATACATGCATGCCACAGGTGCTCAATATATGCTTTCAGGTGCAGGGGAAGCCTTATGCACCAATCAGTGTTCACTGATAAGGAAAGCTCTTTGCCAAGTTCAAGTTAGCCTAGCCTAGGCTTAAAGTTATCCTTGTCTGCCATCAGGTGGCCAGACTGGGTAGTGCAGGAATCTTCATTCTTTAAGCCCAATTTCAAGAAGCTCTATGGTTGGGGCTTAAATGCAGTGAAGGGAAAGAAGGCTTTCCTCCTGGGAAATCTAGTGCATGGAGAGGGCAAGTTGATCAGAAGTAGGAGCATGGAGGGAGTCCCGGGTCTATGAGAAGAGAGATATCGCCTCTTAGTGACAGAGAGAAAGTGCTTTGGTGGAACAGAGAGGCCAAATGAACACAATTTGCACACTGGAATAAACCATGAGAGAGGGTGTATTTTTTGGGGGAGGAAGTTTAGGGAAAACAATAAGTAGGAAAACTAATCATGTAGATGCCCACAGTGAGCTGGGGAATGCTCAGCAGAGGGGGGCGATGGGGTGGGGGTAGTTGACTAGGGGAATTCCAAAAGGCAAGAGGAGACCGCCCTGGATGGAGTGGCACTTGGGAGCCAGGGGACCAGAGTGTTCTAGACATGCCTGGACCTTCTGGGTCCTCAACCCTTTACTTCCAGGAAACATCCCACAGACAAACATCTTGGACGTGCTATGATCATATAAGTTTTGGCCCCATTGTGTCTGCAGAACCAGTAAGGATAAAGGCAAAATTGAGAAGGCAGGAGACAGAGGAACCATCTGGTTATCCTGGCCACTGCACAGCTGGCTTAGGCTCCCAGGGCCCACGACAAGCCCATTCCTGCTTCTTACAAAAAATGGAGTTGGTCATCTCTGTGGGACACAGATAAGTGAGTGGGGGGGGGGGTGTTTAAATTCAATGATACATGATACTTAATCTAGGGGGACACTGGGTGGGGACAGAGACTTACATTCTCAGTAGTTGGTAGACTCTGTGGCTGAGATCTCAGAACTCCCAGACTCCTGGTATCTAGGTTTTCTATTGGCCACTTACAGATATGAGAACATGCAGGACATTCCCCAAAGGGCTCCCTTCCTAGGGACAGGAGAGTAGGTTGGGGTGGATGTGAGGAAGGGAGGATGGGGCCTAAGCCCAGTGGGGTGTTGGCGTCTGCCCTTCCACAGCTTTGCAGCAGGAACTAATGCCCTTGGAGTGCCAAGTCCTGAGTCTGGGAAAGTTATTTCTCCCTTTCAAATCTCAGCGGGCTCACCAGAAAAATACATACATGGGGGAATCCACCAAACTCAGAGGGAAAACTGGCTGTGGGGGTTTAGATGAAATAAATGACAAATGTAGCCCAGCTCAGAGCTCAGAGTACCCTCTACCCCAGGGCCAGGAGTTCCCAGGACCCCTCCAAGATTCAGGAGGCTCAAGGGGTGCAAATTACAGCGCCCCTAGAGGCGGCTTGGCAAAGAGAATTTCCAGAAAGATGTGGACCCCCATGTTAGTGCCCTGCACATGGATGAGGCTCCCCTGCACCTGCACTGTGTGAGTAGTCCAGACGGGGCTGGCAGAGTGCTAGCTTGTGGGCAGAGGCATGGACATAAGGATTGGGTTTACCCAATAAGTTGCCCTTGCAGATTAAAAAAAAATTTTTTTTAATTTATTGATTTGGGAGAGAAAGAGAGATCGAGTTGTTGTCCCACTTAATCATGCGGTCATTGGTTGTTGCTTGTATGTGCCCTGACCAGGGATTGAATCTGCATCCTTGGCGTATAAGGATGACACTATCACCAACTGAGCTAAGCAGCCAGGGCCCTTGCAGATTATTGATGTTGTTGCCTCCTTCCCATTCTCAGCTCAGCTCAAGGACCCTGATCTATAAACACTTGATTTATAAACTTCTGGCCTATAACCCTGCCCCCACTTCCACCTCCTACTGCTTTCACTGGGTCCAGCGCCTGCCTTTTCCACCACACTCAGCTCCGTGGGGCTTGGCACTATGGTTTAGTCCCAGGAGTTACAAGCAAATGGTCACATGAACTTGATGGGGTGAGAGTGTCCTTTCCACGGACTGTGCCAGGTCATGTGAGGGGCAGAACTGTGGGAATTGGACATACAAGGTTGCTGTCCTAGGGATCTCATGCTCTAGGTGGCAACAAATGACATAAAGACAGCATCCCCCAAACGAGGAGCAATATTATGAGAACTATAAAAGAGAAGTACAGCTGTGTCTAGAGTGCAGCCTTCCTGTTGTGGTGATCAGGGAGGGAAGGAGTGATTGAAAGTCACCTAACAGAGAAAGAGCTGATATATTCATTTAAAATATTTTTTAATTGATTTCAGAGAGGAAGGGAGAGGGAGAGAGAGATAAAAACATCAATGATGAGAGAGAACCACTGATCGGCTGCCTCCTGCACGCACCTTATTGGGGATTGAGCCCTCAACCTGGGCTTGTGCCCTTGACCAGAACTGAACCTGGGGCCCTTCAGTCTGCAGGCCGACGCTCTATCCACTGAGCCAAACCAGCTAGGGCAAGAGCTGATATTCTTAGTAGATAAAAAAATTTCTACACATATTAAGAAACATGCCAGCTGTGTATACTTGGTGAAAGAATTTGAAATGGTTCAGACAATAAGGAATACACATAAAAGGCTCTTACACAAATGAAGGGATGTTCACCTCACTGGTGCTAAGAGAAATGCACATTGAAATCTGTGAGGTCAACAACTTATTTTGTCACACAAAAAAAGCAAATCAAACACTGTATGCTTTCTACTGGAAGTCCACAACACCACATATGAAGTAGTCTTGCTCCCCAACAAAACAAAGAAAAACCTAAAAACGGTGGCTCAGTGGTGGAGCAGGGACCTATGAACCACCTCGAAGGGGCCTCGAGGTTTCTGCAGCCCCTCCCCAATACCAGGAACCAACCCTCTCCTCAAACCTAAGTTCACTGTTCTTATAATCACAGGCCTGACAAGGGTGCTCCGGGGACGAGAGAGGCTGTAAGCCAGAAGGAAAGGGAAGGGACTAAGCCAGGAACCCAGGAGAGCTTCCTTGAGGAGGTGCATGATCAACATTTCTGAGAAATGAGAACGACCTTCTTCGTTCAGGGTGAAGGGAGACATAAGATAAGCATGTCAAACTTGCAGCCCACAACAAATATTTTTTTGCGGCCCAGCCAATATAATGGTATGTAAGGAACGTTTTAATAAAAATTTCCTAACTTAATTTTTACAATATCCTGTCATACATAATTATTAATAACGAACTACAACATTCGCTAATGACTGATTACTATAATTGTGTTGCATTCATTTCCCTTATGCGTCTTATGCAGGCGCACCATTTCTGTCCACTAATACCAGCAGCGAATATTTTAGCAGCTGATTGCCTTGTACTGATTTGTTTGGTGTGCGCAATAGGAAATACTTCGCTTTCGGAGAACAAGAAAAATAGGTTTATTTGCATTACGCATATTAATTTGTGCAGTTATTCAGTGTCTGGTAAGTTAATGTTCAAGAAAGAAATATTAATTTTTATTAAAATGTTCTATTATATTATGTTAACGATGACTCATTTATTTCAGCCCTTTGTATTCTATCGAAATAAACCTACGTTTCTATGAAAATTGAGGCTTTTGTTGTTTTGCGGCCCACATAAACTTAAACCTTGTTTATTTGGCCCATGTTAGCCTTTGAGTTTGACATGCTTGACGTAAGAGGAAATGCAGGGAATTGTGACCGCCCTCCACCCTAAAATTCCTCCTTGCTTTCAGGGTGTCTCTTGGGTCAGCCTCCAAGGTTCTTCAACCCCTTATTTGTCTGTCCTGGCCTGGCCCCCTCTCTACTCAGCCATGTCAGCCTTTCGAAATGCACAGGAGACCTGGCACTTAACATCCCACCCCCACCCCCTGGCTCTCCCTGGCTCAGTGGTGGAGCATGGACTTATGAACCGCCAAGATCCAGTTCACAGTCATTTGTTCATTAAACAAACATTTAAAGAACGCCTTCTCGCCCGCGCTAGGGGCACCCGGCAGGGCACTCCCGGGCCCCAGATGTAGCGGGGGACGCAGGCGCGAACCCTGGAGGCTCCGAACGGTGCCAGGGGTACAGGCAGAACGGTGCCAGGGGTACAGGCAACTCTGGGCACGCGAGCGCCCGCCGGGCCTCAGGAGAGGCCTTCCCAGAGGAAGTGATGCCTGAGCTCCGCGAGAACCGGCCTCGGTCCAACACGCTACGGCTGGCGCCGCCCGGCGTCGCCTTCTCGGTGCCTTTGCTGGAACCGTCGCGCCTTACCGGGTCCACGTGGAGAGAGCGCGGCCGGGGACAGGCTGGGCTGCGTGTCCCTCGGGCGACGCCGTCGCTCCGCCCCGCCCCCTCCCGGAAGTGCGCTGTTAGAAGCGGAAGTGCGCACCGACTGCGACCCCCGGCGGCTCAGCGATGGTGGGCGGCGGCGGCGCGGGGGGCGGCCTCTTGGAGAACGCGAACCCCCTCATCTACGAGCGCTCCGGGGAGCGGCCGGTGACCGCGGGCGAGGAGGACGAGCAGGTCCCGGACAGCATCGACGCGCGCGAGATCTTCGATATCCGCCGCTGCCGGGCGCGGGCGGGCTCGCGGGGGCCGGGGAGGGGGACGAAGTGACGTCCAGTGGTCGGTGGAGCCGTGTCGGGCGCAGGCATTCCCGGCGGAGGGTGCAGAGCGGGCAAAGGCGCAGAGGCCCCTTTCCTTCACTGGCCACATCTGATTCGCTCCATCAATGACCCGGAGCATCCGCTGACACTAGAGGAACTGAACGTAGTGGAGCAAGTGCGGGTTCAGGTGAGTCAGCCCAGCGAGCGTCCAAGGGGAGCGGCTGGTTCAGGAGTCAGAAAGGTTCAACTGTTCACTCAGCGGCTGCCATTCTCTCAGCTCAGGGACTCCTCAGGGGATCTTGGGGCGGGGGGGGGGGGGTTGTGTCTATTTAATGGATGAGGAAACTGAGGCCCATAGAAGTCAGGCGACTTGCTCCCAAGCCACAAAGTAAGAAGAGGAACGCTGGGCTGAAAGCGCCAAGACTGCTGACAGCCCACCCCCACCCAGGTGAGCGACCCCGAGAGCACAGTGGCGGTGGCCTTCACCCCCACCATTCCTCACTGCAGCATGGCTACCCTCATTGGCCTGTCCATCAAAGTCAAGCTCCTGCGATCTCTCCCCCAGCGTTTCAAAGTAAGTTGGCACTGCGTGCTGGGGATGGGGCGCAAGTGTAATTATCTGCTACCGAGGAGAACACGAAGAGCGGAAACACGGACCTGGAAGGATCCCAGCTAACAAGAGATGAAACTGGGAGGGACAACAAGAGTAAAGGCCCGAGCTGGAAAGTGCAAAAGAGTAGTGAGGAGTGGGGTCGGGAAGGGCAGTAGGGAGCTAAAGATACGTTTGGAGCAGGGACGGGGCACAGGTAGAATGCTTTGAAGTCAACAGCAGTTGGTCGGCCCTTTGGGGAGAAGGGGAGTGGCTCCGGGTGGATTTGGGGCATACTGGAAGGGCCAGAATTCAGAGGCATGATTAGGAGGTGGTGAATGGGGGAGAGGAAAGAAGGGGTAGGCAGGTGGTTGAGGGCTCAGGCTCTACCTGTCTCCCTCCCAGATGGACGTGCACATTACGCCAGGGACCCATGCCTCAGAGCATGCAGGTAAGTGAGGAGTGTTGAGGCATTGGCCCCAAAGCTTCCTCCTTGCCATGGTGGTTTGTGGGGCAAGGGGGGTGCTGGGTGGGTGACTCCTCAGTGGAGGTGGCAGCCTAGACTGAAGCTGGACTGAGTAGAGTCTCCTGTGCTTACTGTGTCCCCCCCACCCTTCCTGTCCTCTCCCTCTCCTAACTGCCCAGGACCAGGGGGTGTCAGGCTTTATGGGAGGCAGACTTGAGCAGCAAGGTGGGAGGGGTCCCAGATGTGGGCTCAGGTGGTTGCGGTAGCCTGATTGAGGCGTGGGGTCCTGGGAAGGAGATAAGGGGTGGGGGGCTTTGTTGGTGGGGGTATATACACATATTACCACTCCCTCCTTCCCATCCAGTGAATAAGCAACTTGCAGATAAGGAGCGGGTGGCAGCTGCCCTGGAGAACACCCACCTGCTGGAGGTTGTGAACCAGTGCCTGTCGGCCCGCTCCTGAGCCTGGCTTTTCGCCTCCAGCCTCACCCAGGGCTCATGACCTTGTCTTCTTGAATCACTGACAATAAGAAACCCACACTTTGCATTTTGTAATAAACGCTTAATTTATATTCATTTTCCTGTGTGCCTTCACGTCTTTCATCTCGGTGGGGTTACTTGAGGTGTGGGAGGGTGGTCATAGTGAGTGTCTATACAGGGCAGGTCAATGAGATTGAGCTTATTTAAAAAATTTCTCTCGATGGTTTGATTAGGAATAGTTGCAAATATATAAAAAAAATTGGAAAGAGCCCTAGCCGGTTTGGCTCAGTGGATAGAGCATGGCCTGCTGGCTGAAGGGTCCCAGGTTCGATTCTGATTAAGGGCACATGCCTGGGTTTCCAGGATCGATCCCCAGTAGGGGGCGTGCAGGAGGCAGCCAATCAATGATTCTCGCTCATCATTGATGTTTCGATCTCTCTCCCCCTCTCCCTCTCCCTCTCTCAAATCAATAAAAAGATATTTTTAAAAAAATTGTGCCCTGGCCAGTTTGGCTCAGTGGATAGAACGTTGGCCTGCAGACTGGAGGGTCCTGGGTTCAATTCCGGTTGGCGGTACATGCCCGGGTTGCAGGCTCAATCCCCAGTAGGGGGTTTGCAGGAGACAGCAGATCAATGGTTCTCTCTCATCATTGATGTTTCTATCTCCCTCTCCCTTCCTCTCTGAAGTCAATAAAAATGTATTATTACCTGGCAAAAAATGAACAATTCCCTAACACCATTTAATATAAAACATCATTCATAGTTGTTTTTTAAATCAGGCTCCAGTCGAGTTTCATGTATTTGCATTTGGTTGTTATCTCTTTTCTTCCCAACCCCCATCTTTTTATCTTCCTTGACACTGACGTTTTTGAAAAGTCCAGGTGAGTTGTCCTGGAGAAGTACCACAGTTTGATTTGTTCCTTTGTCCGCTGTGTTTCCCGTAAACCAGAAGTTGAGTGAGTTCAGGTTTGAGTTAGGTGTGCCTGGCTGAGACTCAGCAGTGACTGTGGGCAGAGACCTCTAGAGGCCTCAGCAGGGCGTCTGAGCATTTGGCAAATCTGTTCTCCAGGGCCGGCTGACAACACAGCCTATCCTGGTGGCAACTATACTTATACTACCTAGTCGGGCAATTCTTGATCCAGGTTTCTGTGGCAGCTACTACTCTCTATTATCCCTATTTTGCAGGTGAGATGAGCTGCTAGAATAAGTAATTTACTCCCCAAGACCTCTAGGGAGTAAGGAGGAACCTAAGCAGTTTAGCAGGTACAGCTCAGCTGGCAGGGGGCGCTGTTGCCTGAATGGAAAGGCCTATGCCCACCCCCACCCCAATTCCAGGAGGGCGTGGCTTCCTCACCTAGAGACACAAGTTCAGAGAGGTGAAGCTTCCGCAGAGGTCGCCAGTTTCTTCACATGTCATGTGGGGATGGTCATGACAATCACTTGGGACTGGTCTGTGGAGATTTAAAATGGATCTGGGCCCATGTCAGGTGATCTTCCAGGCATTGTTACCCCGCCCCCTCCCCCCACTTACACAGACGGAGAAGCTCAGTGCTCCAGAGAGGGAGGGTGACCAGCCAGGGTCCCTCAGGCCCCAGGGAGCCATCCCAACCACCAGTACCTGGCTGTAAGCTTCACCACCTGTATACACACTGACAGCCCTGATCTCTCAAAGGTGTCTGTGGTGTCTGTTCAGCCGGGTGTGGAAAGTCATAGGGAAGGCAGGTGTCACTGAGTCATTCCACCGGCCCTCCTGGCAGCCAGGCCGTGGTGGGCAAGGGATATTAAGCTGATCATGTCACAGCAGTCACATCAGACAGTCCCCTTGTCAGTCTTGACTCATGTGTCTGGACCCTGGCTGCCTGCATGGACACCATCTGTGAATCCTGGGCTAGTGCCCAGGGAACTTTCTGGAACCCAGGTGCTGTCTGAGGACATGGGTACCGGGTTGAGGGGTGGGGGGTGTTTGAGGTTTCAGGTCACTAAAGCCTTCTACCGGGTGTGTCTGGCTCTTCTGTTTCTGGCCTATGACTTCTCAGGCCTCGGTTACCATGTCTGCAAAATGGAAATGACAAATCATAGCGAAATGAGATTGACCCAGGACTAGATGACATGTAGAACATGCCCAGCTATGTGGACTTCTGCTTATCATCATGCCCACAGTACAAGGGTCTGAGGGCACACAGTAGGTACTTAGTAGAAGTCAATGGAATGAATGAATGAATGAATTGGACTTTAGACAAGAACAGAGGAACTGAGGTGTGGGGGCTGTTGTGTGAGGAGAGCTAAAGATACTGAAGCCTAGCCAAGTCCCCTTTGCAGCATTTTGCTACGGAAGGGAGGGAGAAGGATGTGGGGGTCCCACAGAGAAAAGGAGGGTATAGGGGGGAGAGGAGAGGGATCTGCCCCTCTCCAGAGAAGATCACTGTTCTGGAGAGAACAGAGCAGAAGCAGGAAAGAAGAAACAGGACAGGGCCCATGGATTCACTCAACCTGCCCTGCCCAACCAAGCATGAAAAAGAAAGTGTTCCTATTGAGATACTACTATATGCCAGACACGTGCCAACTACTTTATTGATATAACAACCCCCTCCAAGACAATATCCCTATTCTACACAGGAGGAAACAGGCTCAGCCAAGATAAATGGGCAGAGGTGAAACAACTAGTGAGGGACAGAGCTGGGATTTGAAGGTCGGGTTGTTGAGAAAGGGAGGATCAGGAGGTGAGAGTGGAAGTGTCTGAAGGTCATGTCCTGGTCTTGGTTCCTGGGGCTCCTGGCCATACCTAAGCTTGAAGTGAGTGTGTCTGGCCTGTTGGGGAATGCCTGGGGCCTGAGTGGCCCAATGTGGATGCAGTTCCCTTGGCAATGAAGAAACACTGCTGAGGTCAAGAGCTCAGATTACCAGAGGGGAAACCCAGCCCTAATTCCTTGCATGGCTCCCTGCTGGGAAGGGCCACAGATACCAACCCCCCTCTTGCCCACCCTCTGCTGGACATGCAGAAGCTCTTTTCAGTGACATAGTCATGTGAGCGGTGGGTAGGAGGAGCCATAAGCAGCCCAGCCAGGATCCTGATGGGAAGTGGTTTGCTGGCCCTTGAGACTTGTGTCTGCTGACATGAGCCACGACCCACAACTGCCTCTTCCCATTAGACCTGGCCCAGGAAGTTAGAGCCAGCATAGGCTTGTCCAGGCCTCCAAGACCCTTTAGGCCGTGTGAAGAACACAATTGGATGGGCCACCCTATAGTCCAGTCCTGGCTTATTTTGGGGACCTCAAGAACGAGAGGGGACTGCATGAACCCCCTAACACTTAGCCAGGCCGTCCTCACTCCAGGGCCCTTTCTGATGTTGCCAAGGAAACTGACGCAGCAGCTAAGAGAGCCCTACCGGGTCTCCATGACAACCTATAACAGCACACCAGGATCCATCATCTGTGATGTCACCTGAGCCCTGAATGGGTGTTTCCACTCCTGCCACACTTGTTACAACCAAACATCAGAGTCTTATAGTAGGGCCCTGTCACGAAGCAACTCACAGCCTGCCTGCCCCCAACCCTCACATACCCCAGATATATGAGTAAGGAGGACTAGCTCATGTCCAATGTATAGCTGTGTACCCAGAGACTGGGATGGAGGCAAGACCCAGGAACCTGGAGGGAGAGCCAGGACTAGAAACCAACCCTCCTCATTACATCTCCCCTCTGTGTCCCGGCGGCCACCCTAGGTCTGAAGAAGGGATGAGCTCTGGGCAGTGGTGCTAAGAGCTCCCCCCACTTCTCCCTGCATCGGTGCTCCTCCTGGATGGGTGTCTGAACCTCCAGGTCTTGCGTGTGTCCGGAACAAGCAGGTCCAGACTAGGAATAGGGCGAAGGAGGGAGACATTGGAGGCTCTTAAAGTGGCTGGATCCAGCCCTGATCCAGTTCCTGGTCCAGTTCCACCACTTTCTGCTCCTGCTGGCATCTGACACCTGCCTGCCAGGATTTCCCCTACTTTGGGCAACTTCCAGCCCAGAAACAGAATGACCAGGGCGGGGGGCCAGGGCCACGTATTTTTAGCAGAGTTGCTGGCAGCTGTCTGGAGGGTGCTGGGAGTTGAGGTGGTACTGAGTTCATCCTTTCTCTGCTCTGGGCCTGTGTTCCCTCCCCAGGATTCAAGCTGAAACCTCTAGCTGCCAACACTGCCAGAGGGCCTCCCTTCCCTATCCCCTCCCCCAGGTAGCTCTCAGAGGCCCCCAGGGGTTTATGGGGTGCCACTCACCCTCACCCTGAAGGGCAAGCTCATCAGGCAGAAACTTCAACTTCCCATGGCAGGGAGAGTGGGAAGAACTTGGTGTTGAGGCTAGAAGTCGGATTTAGGACCCCTAAATTCCAGCTCAGATACGGGACAGTGGGGAGTGGATGTCAATGGGCAGAGAAGGGTGCAGTCTGTCCAGTCTGTAAATGTTCTGCTTGCTTGGGCGACAGGCCAGGGCAGGGCAAGAGGGGGGTGGAGGGGGGTGGTGGTGGTGGTGAATTTACTTTTAAAGGGCCAGACCTAATTCTTCCCCAGAGAGGGGTTGGCACACTTGGGTTGGTCCTTGCCCCCACCCATCACGGCACCCTCCCCGCTACACCTCCTCAGCACCATTCACATCCCCTCCCTACTTCTTCCCCCTTCCTTGCCTCCCCCATCACTCTCTCACACACGCACACACCACGCACCACACACACTCAGACCCGGGCTTTGTCTGCCAGTCTGCCCTGCTCCGCCCTGCCGGGTGGGGCGGGGTCTCGGTGGGTGTGAGGTCCTAGGAGGAGGGTGTGGGATCCCTCCTGGGGAGAGGGGGACAGACACGTCAGCCCCGGCCTCAGCGTGGACGGGGGCGAGCGCGGGGGCGGGCAGAGGCTTAAATAGGCTGCTCCCGAGCCCGGACCCAGTGCGGACCGAGAAGCACCGGCTGTGACAACATTGAGTGCGCGAGCCGGGGTCTGCGATCCGAGCGCGGGACCTTGTCCTGACCGTGTCTGTGCGCGAGCGAGGGGGTGAGTGTCCTGGCGGAACGCGGTGGGGGTGGTCGCAGCGTCAGGGCTGCTGATGGACAAGTCAGGAGGATGGGTCACCAGTCAGGGCGCAGGGACCTCCGCGCCCGGGATGGGACTCGGCGGGACGTCTGTTGCGAGCATCTGGCCGGACTCCGGGTCGGGCAGGCGCGCCGGGGTCCAGCCTCCCTCTCCATCGCCACCGTGGCTGACGAGGCCGTCCCGATTCTTCCCCAGACGGCGTCCGACGTGATGACCCTGAATGGCGGCGGCAGCGCAGCGGGTGGGAGCCGCGGCGGGTGCCGGGAGCGCGAGCGCCGTCGGGGCAGCACGCCCTGGGGCCCCGCGCCGCCGCTGCACCGCCGAAGCATGCCGGTGGACGAGCGCGACCTGCAGGCGGCGCTGGCTCCCAGTGCGCTGGCCACGGCCGGGGCGGGCACCCGGACCCAGGGCCGGAGGCTGGACTGGCCTGAGAGCTCCTCGGACTCGCTCAGCTCAGGGGGCAGTGACTCGGATGAGAGTGTTTACAAGGTGCTGCTGCTGGGGGCGCCCGGCGTGGGCAAGAGCGCTCTGGCGCGCATCTTCGGTGGTTTAGAGGACGGGCCTGAAGCAGAGGCCGCAGGTGAGGGGCTGGGGCTGTTCAAAGGAGGGGAGATCCCAGGGTTAGGACTCGGGGCTACAGGGCTGGGGACCTAGAATAAAATGGTAAATACCAAGGGATTTGAAGGTACTTTCAGAATCATGCCTCTACCTACCCATTTCACAGTTGGGGAAATTAAGGGAGAAGGGACCCTTGGTAGAAGAAGAAATGCTGAGTGGAAGGCCCGGGGCACACATATGTCTACTCTAGGATGGGGCAGGACAGCCCTTCCTGCCAGATGGACAGGAACACAGCCAGAGGGAGTTTCTAGGAGAGGCGCCTTAGGTGACCGAGGCCCCCAGAGGATGTGACTAGCATTATTCTAACTCAGGCCACTGTGGTCAGAACCACCCAGGCAATGGGTGGGCAGGGAGCAGAGGAATTGCTAGCTTGGGAAAGGGGTGTCTAGGTGGGGGTCAGGCACAGCAGGCCTTCCCTCTCCACCCCCCCCCACTTGTCCCCCCCACTTCTGTTGCCACATAACAGCCATCAGTGGACAGGAAGGTTGGGAGGGGGGCTCTGGGGAGAGTTGGGGTGTGTGGCCGGAATAGGAAACCTGGTGCCTGGGGGTTGGGGGAGGCTTTTGGCAGCCAGCAAATAACCTGACTACTTACTGGTTTCCTGTCTAGGGCACACGTATGATCGCTCCATCATGGTGGATGGAGAAGAGGCATCGCTCATGGTCTATGACATTTGGGAGCAGGTAGGATGCAGGCTGAGACCCAGGGCGGGGTGGGAGGGGTGAGCTGGGGGTAGGGGTCTGCTGGGAGCAACAGTTTGTAGCTGGGGCACGGGGACTGTTGGGTAGATGTGTGTGTGTATATCTTCTTCAGGATGGGGGCCACTGGCTACCTGGCCACTGCATGGCCATGGGGGATGCATACGTCATCGTCTATTCAGTGACGGACAAGGGCAGCTTCGAGAAGGCCTCAGAGCTGCGGGTCCAGTTGCGGCGGGCGCGGCAGACAGACGACGTGCCCATCATCCTCGTGGGCAACAAGAGCGACCTGGTGCGCTCCCGTGAGGTCTCCTTGGATGGTGAGCAGGGTGGGGGTCAGAAAGGGAGGGAGATCCTGGCTGGGCTGCGGTCCACTCAGGCTTGACTCAGCTTGAGTCCCCGGGGGAGCGTCAGTGGCTAAATATGATCAGGAAGAAAACTTGTGGGGGGAGAAGGAGAGAGCTGCTGTCCTCCCACAGGACTCCCCCAAACCTGAGAGTGCCGGGGACAGGACCAAATGCACTAGGAGAGGTGGCGGCGGCAGGGTCACCTCAGGGCCCTCCTCTCCTGTCCTCTGTGGCCCTGGCCTGACAGACGAGGAGTGAGGAGAGTGCCTGGAAACAGGCCAGGAGGTCAGAGCCTGGACCCAGGCCTGGGCCAGTCTTGAAGTAGGCTTGCCCCTGGGGAGGACTCTGCCCTCTTGGGCTGAGTATCCTCCTGTGCGGCCCCCAGAACTGAGCCCCTTAGAGGAACCTCGCAGTGACTTGGTTACATACCCACCATTCCACTGGTCATTCATCACGATATAAAACACTAAGCCATCCAACAAAGTTCTCATTCTCCTGTGTTGACGACTGCAGCACTTCCATTTACGTATCAGACTTCAAATTATTTCAATAGATGAGTCTCCTTTTGTGGGCCTTTCTGAGCTCCTTAAACTCATGCACCCAGTTGGGTGACCAGCAATACCTGAGACACTCCATACAGGGTTGGGGTCTCGGTTTCTGAGGACCCAGGGCTCCACTGTCGCTTACCCATAGGTTCCGAGTGGTAGCTGCCATGGGGTAGCCAGGGTTCGAGGGGGCTCCTCACGCACCCACCCTTTGTTGACTGGTTTGTGCCTGTCCCCACCTACACCAGAGGGCCGGGCCTGTGCGGTGGTCTTTGACTGCAAGTTTATTGAGACCTCAGCTGCGCTGCACCACAACGTCCAGGCGCTGTTCGAGGGCGTCGTGCGCCAGATACGCCTGCGCAGGGACAGCAAAGAGGCCAATGCACGTCGGCAAGCGGGTACCAGGCGGCGAGAGAGCCTTGGCAAGAAGGCGAAGCGCTTCCTGGGCCGCATCGTAGCACGCAACAGCCGCAAGATGGCCTTCCGTGCCAAGTCCAAGTCTTGCCACGACCTCTCGGTGCTCTAGGCCTCAAGGGCACTCCCTGTGTTGTGCAGATCATTGGACAGATTGGTGGGCTGGCCCAGACTCCGGTATCCCCCACCTCATGGTCATGGACAGACAGTGCTGCCCAGGGAGGTGGCTTCCACTGGCCGTCGAGGGCTGGGCCCAAAGAGGCGCTTGGGCAGGCCCATGTGTGTCCCAAGCAGCAGCCCGAGCCCAGCTCCTGGGACAGCTCTGTGTGTGGGGAGAGGACGCTGCCTCTCTCTCTCCACCTGGTGTGCATGCCCTGGAGGGTGGCTGTTCAGTGCGGTGGCTATTTGTTTACAGGCAGATTTTTGTAATAAAGATTATTTCCTGATAGTTGGAGGCTGTGGACTCTGTGTTTCCTCCTGGGAGGGGAGGGGCTGCAGGAACAGGCAGGCTTCCCGAAGTGTGTGGCCTTGACTATCCTAATGTTTGGGCCCAGATGTAGCCAGCTGCGTCAGAGGGGGCAGGTGTGATTGGGGCCTGCTTTGGGGTCCCAGCAGCAGGAGGAGACATGAATCCCTCCCGGGTGTTATCCAGATTCTTCACTAACCGCTGGGGCCTGGCATTGCCCAGTTGGTTGAGGGTTCAATCACTCCACTGTGTGTAAGGGAAACCGAGGCTGCCCGAGGGACCTCACCCTGCCCCAAGTCTCATGGCCGAATAAGAACCCTGGGTTTGGCCCTCCAGCTGGTGTCTCTACTCTGCTCCCTCCACAGAAGCTGGAAATGCACCGGGAGTGGGGGCGGGGGGCGGGGGAGAGGGGGGATGTGTGGCTGTGGGAGACTTCAAGACTCCCTGGCTTGTTAAAGGTGAGGTGAGGAAGGCACATCCTATGGGCTTGACTCTGAGTAGCTCCCCACCTCCTTGCTGAGGCTGGGCGACTGAGGGCCCTCACTGTTCCCTCCACTGTGAGTGGCCTGGCCAGAACGTCCCATGCTTATGGTATTGGCAGGAACAGGTCCCTGGAGCCCTCCCAGCCTGGAATGAGAGGCCTTGCATCTGTGTGGGAATGTGTGCATGATCACCGAGAGAAGCGTGCCTGTCCCCGCTCCCCCACCCCCCTCACACCCGGAAAGGAGAGCCCCTATGGGCACAGGTGCCTGCAGTTATGTAGGTCTTTTCAGGAACAAGCGTCCCCATTCAGCAATGGCAGGTTGGGCACTGAAGTGCTTGCCCGAGGTCACACAGGTAGACGTGGCTGAATGGGGACTGGCATATGGAATGGGGGGCGCTGGTTTCCAGAGCTTGGAGGCAGCCTGGGGCAAGGCTGGGAGTTTCTGAGCAGGTTCCAGGCCAGAGTCCGTACATTCCTTCATTAGTTCAGGTTGTTCATTCCACTGGGAGCCCTCGCAGCCTGGTTAGAGCCCTGATCGCAGTTGTTCAACAGCAGGAGGAAGTCTGAAGGCTGCTCCTCCGTGTATGGGACCTCTGTGACTAACCCACATGCCCCCCCAGGGCCACGTTAACCAGTTCAAAGTTTCTGCTGCTCTCCCCTCCCCCAACATACTTCGAGGCATGCGGAAGGTATGGGTTTCTCAGGCAGGTAAAGGTCTCGAAGCCTGAAGAAGAATCCAGACCTTCCTGCTTCTGCCACTTATTGGCTGTGTGACCCTCGGCAAGCCGCTCAACCCCTCTGTGCCCCAGTGTGTGACATGGGGGTGGTGTCCTCTTCAGAATACAGAGAGTGGAATAATGAAGTCATGTGCTTAGAGCAGGCACATTGTAGGAGCTTAACACACGCAAGACCCCTCCACATCCCCACACTGCACTGCTCCAGGCTGGGGTGCCCCTGAGGCAGGCACACAGCTTATGACAGGCAAGACTGGGTGCAGTTGAGGGCCCAGCCCCCAGCCTGAGAGAAATTAACCAGATATACAGTGGGAAGGACTCGGGGGAGACCATGGGAAGCTCTGAGGACAAGGAGAGATTAGAGACCTTATGACCTTTCCCACCCTCCCCGCCTTGTTCTGGACTCCCAGGCCGCAGAAGCTTCTCTTGGCTCTGCTTGGCTGCCTCCCTGGGGGAAGGGCCCCTGGACAGCCCTGCAATTCTTTCAAGGTCACCTGAGCTGGCTCGATCTTCTCTTTCCGCCTCAGAGGCACGCGACTGTCTGTTGTCTCAGCCCTTTCAGTGTCCAGGGACTATTGTGAGCACTTAGGGAGCTTCAGGGGATCTCACAGGCCATTGTCCCCTCACCTATTGCCCCACTGGTGGGTGGTCTGGAGCCCTGAATGCCCAGTTCAGGTGGTGTCCTGCTCATCTCTCCTTCGCGTGCCACCTCAGCTCCTGGTCTTAGTTCCACAAGACAGCGGGGAGCTGCTGAGGCTGGGCAAGGACCGTCACTGCTGGGTCCCTGCATGCTGCCCTGGAGGGGCGCTCAGTCTGATGGGAGAGACAGACAGTGCAAATCTGGTGTCCTCTCTGCGTTGATAGAGATAGCACACGGCAGGGGGTGGGGGTATTCTCAGAGGAGGAGCCTGAACAAACCTGGGAGCGCGGGGAAGGTTTCCCGGAGAAGGGAATATGAACTGAGTACCGAGGCCTGAGCAGGTGCTCGCCAGACAAATGAAGTGGTGGGAAGGGCATCCAAACAAAAGGAACAGAGTGGGCCAAGGTGGGGCTGCGGGAGGTGCAAGAGGGAGAGGTGGGATCGAATCTGAAGCCCTAGAAAAAGTAGTCGTCTCTCTGTTTCCGTGGGAGATTGGTTCCAGGACGCCCCAGGATACCCAAACCCAGGGATGCTCAAGTCCTTCATATAAATGCTGCAGTATTCGCATATAACCTATGCACATCCTCCCGTATACTTTAAATCATCTCTATCATCTCTAATATATTTTATAATCGTCTGGTAATACCTACTCTTATAATACCTAGTACTTAAATCATCTTACAAAACCTAACACAATCTAAGTGCTATGTAAATAGTTGTTATGCTGTATTGTTTAGGGAATAATGAGAAGAAAGAAAGTCTGTACTTGTTTAGTAAGATGTAACCATCGTAGGCCTAACTACACATCAACAACATAATTTCTTTTTTGAATATGTTTGACCTATGGTTTGTGGAATCTGCGGATGGGAAACCCACAGACGGTACTGTCCAGGTCCAGAGGGCTAAGAAGTGTCCACTGGGCTGTGTAGGGGTGGGAGGAGTGCCAGGCCGAAGAGCTCCCCACCTCCTGGGGCTGGCAGTGGCGGATGCTGAGCAGCCCCCAGCTTTCCAAAGTCAATGAATAACCTGGGGGGCTGGGCAAGGCCAGGCCTGCTGCTGTGGGCCCAGTGGTGTTTTCCATTCCCGAGCGAGCGTGGCGGGACCGCCTACCTGCTCAAGTGTACGCCCTGCCTGCTCAAGTGTCTGCCCTGCCCTACTCCACCCAGCCAGGTCCAGCCTGCACTCCTTGGAGAAAAACCTGCTCACCTGGCAGCTGGACCAAGGGAGCCAGCTTTAGGCACCAGCAGGTGAAGGCCTGGGCGTTGGGGGTGGAGGGCGGGCAGGGCTGAGGTGGGGTTGGTGGTGGGGGAAGGAGAAACACTGCCTTGTCCCTCCGCCATCTGGGGAAGACCGGAGTGGTTGTCCATGCTCCGTGTGCCCAGCTCCGTGCTGAGTGCTGGAATATGCCAAGATGAGGGCAGGGTTCCTCCCCTGAGGGGGCTCCGAGTGAGAAGGATGGCAGTGGAAAGAAGAGCAGTCCTGGAGACCCTGAACCAAGAGTCCTCTGTTCCAGGAGGAATTCTCCTTGTGGTTCATTAATCCTCTGTGACCTTGGTCAGGCCCTGTCCTTCAGGCCTTGCCTGCAACATGAGGCAACTGCTGTCATCAGGGTCTTTCCAAACTTGTGTGACTTTTCAGGGCTGCTCTGGGGGGGCTAAGGTGGGAAGGAGACAGAGGTCTGGAGATGGAAGTCCCATGGAGATCCTTGTGGGGCAAGAGCCAACAAGCAGCAGGGTGGCTGGGCCTGGGGGCCTTGGTGTGCCTGACTGAGCGGCTGGACACTACCCTGCCAGCAATGGGGAGCCACCGGCCCTTCTAAGGGGAGGAAGAGGAGGCCAGTCTGTTGCGAGGTCCCTCTGTCTGTGTATTTGGAATAAGCTGAGGCAGGGGACAAGGGTGGTGGCAGTGTCCACGTGGGTGGGCTGGGGAGGGCAGCTTTGAGAGTTGCTGGTACAGCATTGAAAGACAGGGGACAGGAGGAGGCCTGGCTGCCTGCCCCATAGTGATCCGGTAGGAGGAGGTTCATCTGAAGGAGGGACAGTTACAACCCATGGCGCTTGGAGAAGCCAAGGCCTGGAGCTGAGTGGGGATGAGGAGAGGAATACTTACTAGGGGGAAAGGGGTGGGAGGAGCCTCCGGCCCACCAATCTGGGCTGGATCCTCACTGCCATGTCCCTCAGGCCCGTCCTGACCATGGTCCCTGCCTGGCTGTGGCTGCTTTGCCTGTCCATCCCCCAGGTGAGCTGAGCCCTGCTCCCCTCCTTCAGATCCTGGCCTTGGGATAGGCACCCTTGCTCCCCACCCCACCTGGACCCGTTACACCTCCACAGATGGTAGTAGTTGGGGGCAGGGGATCAGAGCTGGCTATCGGGATCATGAGGGTGGATGCGCTCAGGTATGGCCAGGTCCAGGGAAGAGGCAGAAATTCCCCTCCCTGTTAGGTCCCCAGTGCCAGGGCAGGAAGATAGAGCCTGGTGACAAGGTGAGAATCCTCCCACAGGCTCTCTCCGAGGCCCAGCTTGCAGAGCTGCATGTGGAAGTCCCAGAAAACTATGGTGGAAAGTTCCCTTTGTACCTGACCAAGGTGAGCTTGACCAAGGTGTACCTGACCAAGGTGGGCTGCCCTCCCCAAATCCTGCTTGCTTCCCTGACCTCCAGCACTCCTTTCCCTTCTTGCTCCGGCTTACTTTTAAACCCTGCTCTCTCGAGAATATGCAATAGAGCGTGTATGACTAGCAAGATTTTAATTCCAGAAGAAAGTAGATCTTTAAGTTAAAGAATGAAGTATTGGAAGAAGAGTTTCAGGCTTTAGAAAGAAGGGCAGGGAGTATTAGGGAGCATCAGGTACAGGACTGAATCTCAGTCCTGTTACTGGCTGTGTGACCTCTCCAAGCCTCAGTTTCCCCACCTATAAAATGGGGCCATCCCCCAGGCCTGGCCTCCACCCCTTTCACCTCTGTTCTCCCCCACCAGCTGCCACTACCCCGTGGGGAGGCTGAGGGCAAGATTGTGCTGTCAGGAAACTCAGGCATGGCATCTGAGAGCCCCTTTGCTGTGGATCGCGAGTCCGGCTTCCTGATGGTGACCAGAGCCCTGGACCGAGAGGAACAGCCAGAGTACCAGC